ATGTATTCAATGGCAACCAATAGCAAAGAAAGACAGGGAAGCAAAAAAAGGACCAAACATACAAGACGCCCGCAGCCAGCCAGTAGTTGCGCAGCCCCGGTGCCATGAACGGCCCGACCAGCGGCAGGTGGTCCGGGGTGCAGGTGATGGGCCCGCACACGTCCCGGGTGATGTCCGCGTCTCGCACCGCGGGAATCATCTCCATGGCCGCCTCCAGGTACTCCGAGATCCTGTCCAGGTCCGAGTCAAACAACTCCTTTCCAAAACCTGAATCATGAAACAGGGAGGAGAGGTTGGGATCTAGGAGTTTGAAGAGTTTCGACCTCACGCTCGGTTTCTTTGTCAACGATTTTTAAAACGAGGAGCTAATCATTTTTACGACAACTCTATAGTCTTCCTAACACATACTTAAGTTAGGGCAACAACGATTCCTTTCTCGCGGAGGTCCAATCACTTAAAAGGCCGATAGAGCAGACTAACTAAATGTCAAGTGTACATGTATATTATTTAGTTTTCAAGAACTAACGTCCTTGATCTATATCAAACGTCCCCACCAATATTTACTATGAATTATAACAAAGGAAGAGAGTAGTCTCCGGACGCACCTGGAGGAACCCCGTCGCTCACCCAGTGGTTCTGCATCTTCATCAGCTCTGCCCTCTCGTACGGACCGATGATGAGTCCGTCCCGCTCCTGTCGCGCGTAGTAGGCCCCCTCCAGGTCCCGGATGACGGGCAGTTCCGTCTCCCTGGCCTGGACCTCGGGGATGGGTCCCGTCACGACGTACATGTGCTGCACGGTGACGAGCGGCAGCTCCAGGCCGCACAGCCGACCGATCTCATGAGCCCAGAAACCTGAAAGGTAAGAAGGATATAGTACGTTTTAAGCTTGTAGATTTGAACTTACATTTTCAATAATGCAGTTCTTGTATCTTGTCTTGACTTAGCAGAATTCGATATGTCTGTGGCGTTCAAAGCAAGATGCTTTAAATGATTCTAAATTGACGTACTATGGTTGTATATATATCAGCAGTAGCTCTTGTTTTGGGGACAGAACATATATATATATCAGTCTTGTACTCGTACCAGCAGCATTGACCACCCTCTGTGCGTGGATGGTGCCATGAGGTGTGTCCACATTCCAGCTGCCATCACTGCGCATGCTCATCCCAGTCACCCCAGCCTGTTGGTAAATGTCTGCCCCGTACATCCGGGCACCGATGGCATAAGCCTGGGTGAGCGAGTAGGGGTCGATGTGTCCGTCCCCGGGATTGTGTAGGCCCATCAGTACCTAGGACAGACAGCGTCACATTCGACTTATCCAGGTCTGGTATGGCATCCAAATCATAAGGAAAGAGTAGTTGTCCCATAATGTTTCCTTGGGGAACCCCGACCATATATTTTGTCTGAAGTCCCAGGGGTGAGGTGTATCTAACCTTCAGAGTATTTCGGTTCCAATGCAATCTGAATCGGTTAACGTATTTAACTGCAGTTCGCCGTAACACACCAGCTTCGCAGGTAAAACACAGAACACCTTGTTGCACCCAAACCATTCCAGTCTTGAATGAAGATTATCAGACCGTACCTTATCCATGTTGAGGAGAGGGTGCATCTGGTTTACTTCCTCCGGTGTCAGCAGCCACTGCGGAGCCTTGTTCCAGCCCTGCCGCTGCATCTGGTACCGGAACTCGTCCACCCGCTCAGGAGTGGAGGCCAGCCGGATGGTTCCAGGGCCATGGAAGCCCACGTCCTGTCAGAAGCCACAATAGAACGTCAAATAGAGCAACATGGAGGCGCACTCAGCTATTTGCTATTTGCATGAATAAACTGTAGTTTCAGCGTTTTCGGGCATCTAGAAATCTTCTAAATCTCCCAAATAACATCCAAAGGAAAATTATATATTAGAAGGATACTTAAAGAACTACCAATAAAACACAAACACTTGTGTACATGTACACTTGAGCTAAGATCCATTAAAATGTAAATCAAGACCGAAAAATATGGTGGTCAGAACCGGCCTAGCTATTTTATCAAAATAGAAAGTGAGTAAAACACTCTACTTGTGGTCAGGTCACCATGACACCATAACTTAACGTCGACCGCAACGTATAATTTACATCTGATTAATGTATCATTTGATATCCCTCTTCTCATCATTTTGTCGCGATTTGACTCTGCATAGCTGCAGAACAGCAGACTAGGCGGAATTTCTTTCCTAGGACCACTGCAGTGTCGCCATCTTGGATCTTGGCGTACCACCAAGACGGCGACGCCTATATATCATTTAAAATTCTGACGTTGTCTCTGCCCTTAAAATAACTTGTACAGCACTCACCTGGCCCGTTTCTCGCTCCACCTCTTTGAATACGTTGAGGCTGTCCCAATGGACTTTCTTCATGTTGATGCCTGGGTTGTAGTACGTGGTGAGGCCAGCCTGAAATATCACAGCTTTATAGTCATCACGACAGCGACTTCTGGTCATTCTTAATCATTTTGGAACATTTCACTGCTGCAATCTTTGGAGTCAAGCCTTAGTTAGAATGGCAGTACATTACCGGTGTATCGAATGACTGCATGATCAAAGCCTAATACCATCGGTACCGTTACATCTTGGATTCCTTGTGGATGAAATTGTCCAAACTTTTTTGCACCCAAAGTTTCCAAGACTGTCTCAAATACTACTGACACTTCTGTAATTATTACAAACACTGAATTCAAAACAGTTGACAGTTACCGCATGCCATGTTGACCCAGCGGTCAGTTCTGTCTTCTCCAGCAGCACCACGTCCTTCTGCCCGGCCTTAGCCAGACAGTAGGCCAGCCCCGTGCCGACCACCCCGCCCCCGATGATCACCGTGTCCGCCTCGTCCTTCAGTCTCCTGCTGATGGACCCGGACGTCGGCCTGTGAAGGGAACGGAACCGTTTGGACATATCTGAGGAACATTTGAATTGCATACCAGTCCAAATTCACCACTCTTTGAATACAAGAAGTCCAACAAACAGTCTGAACATCGTCCGGATGGGGTTGGTCTCTATAGACCAAGCAGATGTTGACAGGGACTGGAAGACACCCCTGCATGCATGTGTTCTGTCTCAGCAGAAGGGGACGGTTGATCACGTATTACGTCCCAATATCTGCTAACGCTTGGAGATTGGCTCACAAGCTTTTAGTTATTCGAATTCGGGTAGCATAAAGAGTAGGAACTGTTTGATAAAGTGCTGGAAGCAAAACGGAGCGGTTATTCGTTGCTTGATCGTATGAAGTGATGGTGCTTATATCAATTGTACTTTCACACGTCTCCGTTTGCATTACATCATCCTTGAACTTGAATTGCATGCCAAAGATCGGTATCATTTACCTCGGGGGCGTAGAAGGGGCATAATCCATACTGTTTTTGTAGGATTCATTTTCTGTCACTGAAGGATCTTGAGACCTTCTAGGATAACGTTAAGTATGTACTGACTACGAAGTCGGATATTTATATATAATGATACAGCAATCATTGACCATCCAACAGACATTGGAAATTACACTTGTAACATTGGAGCTAATTTGCTGCGTGTGCTTTGTATGACCCACCCTTAAAAACCCAACGTAAAGGACTGAAGCCACGACCTACATACCGGTCATTCTTCTGGCTTACTGCGTCCAGGTGAAACGTCGTGGTGGACGGGTACTGAGCTCGTGACCAGCACCGCCAGGATAGTAACCGGGACACACCTGCACACCTGGCCTTCACAACATTCGCCATGTTGTATCCACACACTTGCCAGACCAGCATTGGGGGCGTTGATATCAAGGGGCACGGTGAGATTGATTGGGTAAACATGACCGGGTGAAACAAACAAACCCAAAACAAACGGCTTTAGTTCATTTTCAATGTGATCAAAGTGAACACCAAGAAAAATAATAATTCGGAGACTTCATACCTCCATGAAATATGTAGAGTTCACATAGATCACTCAATGTGATCAAAGTGAACACCAAGAAAAATAATAATTCGGAGATTTCATACCTCCATGAAATATGTAGAGTTTATTTAAATGTTTTTTTTGGATTTGTCTCATTGAGTATGGAAATAAGGTCATAATTACCATGATCTAGTTAAATGTATGGTTTTCTAAACTCAAACTACAATACATATGTATTTTGCTTGCGAAATGTCTATCTTTTGGCAAAATTTCAAGTCAACATGTCATCATTAATTATGCAAATGACCTCTATATTAACATAATATATGCATAGTGATGTTAACCTTTAAGTAACTTACACATGTCACAATGTATAGAATTCCCATCATTCACCATTAACAAATCACAGAATTTTCAAGTTAAGCTAAGGTCCCAATTACGCCGGTGCCCGTCGGGGATGTAGCCCCGGCTGGCCCCGGCCGGGTTCAGGAGTCGAGCGGGCATCGTCTGTCGTGGTCACAATTAAAAGTTTCCTTCAGTAGCATTTTGTTAGAAATTTTGTCACCCTCTTTGGTCGGTATCCGGCAGGCACCCGGCAGGTACCCAGCAGATTCTCTGACGATGTCTTGTATTGACCTATACGTAATGCAGAATTCACGTATTTGTTGTGATCATTTGATCTGTGAGGTCACACATTTTACCCGGGTTTACAAAGTACACACCTTTATTCTGTTCATCTGGTCTGTGACGTAAGAAATGTGTCCCGGTGGAATGCCGGCAACCGGAGGGGTACCTCCCGGTGTTCTCACGATGAGGTCACGGCGTCTTTTTGTCAGCGGGGCCCGGGTAGAATTTAACTCAGAATTAAATTCTTATCGGGGCCCCGACGGGCCAAAAAATATCCCGGTAGCCGCAGGGTGCCCCGCGGGGCCACGTCGGGGTCCCGCCCGAAAGTGGTAAAAAACAGCCCGGGAACTACCCGCCAGGGCCCCTTTTCCCAATTGGGACCTTAGCTTAAGAATTTAATTCTGAGTTGAATTCTACCCGGTCCCCGCTGACAAAAAGACGCCGTGACCTCAACGTGAGAACACCGAGAGGTACCCCTCCGGTTGCCGGCATTCCACCGGGACACATTTCTTACGTCACAGACCAGATGAACAGAATAAAGGTGTGTACTTCGTAAACCCGGGTAAAATGTGTGACCTCACAGATCAAATGATCACAACAAATACGTGAATTCTGCATTACGTATAGGTCAATACAAGACATCGTCAGAGAATCTGCTGGGTACCTGCCGGGTGCCTGCCGGATACCGACCAAAGAGGGTGACAAAAATTTCTAACAAAATGCTACTGAAGGAAACTTTTAATTGTGACCACGACAGCCGATGCCCGCTCGACTCCTGAACCCGGCCGGGGCCAGCCGGGGCTACATCCCCGACGGGCACCGGTGTAATTGGGACCTTAGCTTTACTGTTTGGTGTAGTGTGTGAGGGACGTGACATAGCGTCTTTGTTTAAGGACCTTCTTTAAGTTCATTAGAGATGACACCAAGTTTTTATTTATACACATA